CCGTTTTATCATTAGGTGCTACCCAATTGGTGATCTTTTGTTCAGCCTATGTATTTCTCAGGTCAGTACATGTCTATATCATGAGAGGGTAAAGCTAACGAACCATATTTGTCGTTTTAGTAGAACTGAAACCTCTTCTTGGGAAATTTGAAAATGCTGGAAGCTGTGAAGATAACTGACAGAGTCTAGAAATCATGAATTGAGTTGAATTGAAAGGAGAGAGGTTATGTTGTTCCCCTTTATATATAGTGAGTGATACAAAGGAAAGATGGGAAGCATGAAGATAGATGATGGATGGCGGGGTAGAGAGATTTGTCATTGATTGGAGCTATATCGGTGCATCCTTGCTAATCTGCCGAGTCTGCTTACATTCCTTCTGCAAAGCACTTACTAAGTCTATTACATAACCCACTAATATAAAAATAATCATAATGCCTTACGTACAGAGTAGAGTAGTTATCCAGATATGGTTTGTCATTATTCAACACATTATGGTTTGTATGTAAGATATTTATAATTTGCTAAAATTCATAATTCGCGTGCGATTCTAATTTTAATCCCATAAAATGTATGCCCCTTCATCTTCATTGTATCGTTGTTAATTGCCCAACTTCATCATAATGTAAGGAACTTCTACATCTTCTTCATCTTGATCTTCAACACAAATTTCAAAGATCACCGTTTTTTGATGACTTGGGATAGCCTTCTTAGAAATGAGCTCAACAAGTTCGCTGAGCTTCAAATTCATTCGATCCGCCAACTTTGCCTTGGGGAAAAAGCTGGCATACAAGAGACTAACACCTGAACTCAACATAGTGATATCGAGACCCTTGTTCTTTGAGAAGTCGTCGATGAGTTCTTGGAGAGTAATATCCTCAACCTCAAATCGATCCCAGAGTTTGTCAATAGAGACTTCTCCGGTGTGACCCTTGTATGTAGCCTTTGGACTAGCGATAGGTTCACTGAATCCAAAGAAAGGTAAGGCCAAGTTGACGAAGCCATTCTTATATTGCTCAATGTCGTCTTTACCATCGACAATCTTGTAGAATTCCATGATAACCAATCCCGTGGCAAGAGCAGTAGTGGTTGCAATAGCAGGGATAATCTTGCCAGCAATAAACTTTGTCTTGTGCCTATCGGCAAGCTCAATCTTGTAATTCTCAGCACGTAAGTTACTGGCAGCGGTGATAAAGTCGATGTGGTGATTGGTATCATCATCCTTTTCAAACTCTACTGGTGAGAGTTTCAAACCAGCCAATGATTTAGGCGATGGAAGCTTTTCCATGAGATTTTGAAGCTCCGTGCTATCATCGAAAGATGAGCTGTTTCCAGCATTTGGATCCTAAGGTTGTCAGACATACTTCATTGGCAACAAAAAAATGAAACTTACAGGTTCACTATCATCCGCTTGAATCTTGACAGAAGAGCTGGGAGAGAAATCAGGGATGATCATGTTATCAAGAACTTTTTGAATTGTGCTTGAGTTGAGACCAGTAGTATTGATTCCATAGTTGAAGGCGTGAAGACTAGCACCGGCGACAACGAAATCCCAATGATATTGGTTCTTGGGGTCGAACTTCAATGGATCTGGAGCACGTTTTGGTCCAGACCAAAATGGTGTACCGCTTGATGTAGTTGAATCCTTAGGGAAGTTGTACAGTAGTTGTTGAATGTTATTATTGTATTGCTTCTCGAATTGTAGACGAGCCCATTTGATGCAGTCCTCGACAGACAATGGCTTATCCTCAACCAAAAAATCTAAAATCGTTTCTAGAGTTGCCTTTTCTTGGCCACCCTGCTTCAAGGTTTTATCAAGGTAATCTGGTTGCGTAAGGTATAAATTGACTGTTTCTGCTGGCTTGACAAAGTATGATTCGAACAATTCTCGAGACCAGGCAATGGTATGTTCAATTTTGTTAGGGAAACTTCGAAGTGTACACATTGGGAAGGATTGCTCGGGGGGATCTTGAGAGCTAGAATATGACTCGGTCAAGTGAGGAAGAACAACTTGTGTGTTACACTTGGTACCAAGAGTTCCACTCTCCAACAAAGGCTTTCGGAAAAAGACGCAACGACGATCAACGTAAGTTCGTGCATCAACATTATCGAGAGCGTTAGTAACACCATCAAGTTGATACCAGAATTGCTCGTTAAAGATATGTTCGGTATCTTGACCAACTCGATCACGCATGGTAACAATATGACCCTTAAGATCAGGGTTCATTGCTTGAACTGCCTCAGCAGCACAGTCACTCTTCAACTTGCCAACATCTTTAGGTCTGAAGAGGAATTGACGATTGAGATTGCTCTTTTCGATCGAATCCATATCAGTGACAAAGATCTTACCCTTGGGGCCTGTCGCCAAACCAATCATGGCCCAATTCTTCAACATTTCGCAACCAATAGCACCGGCACCAACCAAAAATTGGGTGATGTTGGAAAGCTTTTCTTGATATTCTTGACCAAATACAGCAATTTGACCATCGTATCGAGAATTGAGGGGTTTGCATGTTTCCTCAGTCCGTTTGAAACTGGTTGGAAGGGACTCCAAAGAGTCGAAGTACATCCACTGGTTGATTGGGTGAAATTTCCCAGAAACAGCCTTCAATACTTCTTGAGCTGCAAGCCCACCGAAGAAAGCTGCCATTGGGTTCAAATCACCTTGAGCTTGGTAACTTAACTCGGCAATTAACTTCTCATCCACTTCAATATCCAGCTTTTGATTTTTGATGAAAGTCTTAGCAGACTCAATAATGACTATGGAGTCTTCCTTATTCATCGGTCTTGGAAGACGACCTTGAGATTCTTGGAATCCATGGAGAGCCTGGAAACCGACATGGAGCTGCTGAGGACGATCGAATTTTGCGTAGTCGGAAATAAGATGTTCTGGGTCCTTCAAAGCAACCGACAATGGCTTAAAGTCAATGAACTTTGGCATTTTGACCTGTTGGTACATTCCACCCTTCTTGTATTGACCAAGTCCAGTAACATCTCCGATAGAGAAAGTGTATGGTCCTTTTACTGTTACCTTTCGAGGCTCTGCACCGTTCAAAGCTTCTAATCCTTCCAACTCGGTGAAGGTAACGTAATCCCCATCCTCAAGGCCATGTCGTGTTTCATCCAAGGCGGATACTAAGCCTTCCTCATCGATTCCAGCGACTATGCCGCTAACTGGAGCTTCGCCTGTGGGGTCAAGAACAGTGAACTTATCACCAAAGTCGCAAAAGATTGATCCAAAGAGACCAAATGTATCCGCAACTACCAGGTAGATTCCCTTATTATGTAAATAATCGCCAATGATGATTTGGTCTTTGAGTGGAGTATTGGTCAAGACAACGACTTGGTATCGATCGAACTGAGTGAGGTCCTCTGTTAAGCTGTGGGAGCTATTGTTAGCAAAATTCTAGCCTCGCGCCAGAATGAATTACTAACCTTGAAGACTTGTGAACGGAAACCGGGGTATATGCGTTTAGCTCAGCAACGCGTGGTGCGGTCACTTCCGCTCTTGGCTTCCCAACATCTTCAGGATGTAGAAAGAATTGAGATGAAAGGTCTGAAATGGCTGCGGGCGCAGGATCATAGAGGGTAAGACTTTTGACACCTGCCAAAGCAATGTTCTTTGCAATCTCGACACCGAGTCCCTTGAGTCCCACAATCAACACATTCGAAGCACCCATACGCTTCATGGCCTCATGTCCTAGAACATAAAGTTGTCTGCTGTAGAGGGATTCATCGATCTCATTATTGCCAACCACCGACTCATCTACCTGCATCTTAGTCTCCATATCTTTATCTTTTGTGTGTATGGCCTGGTGAGAGAGTAACTATATTAGTCTGTGCAATACTAGAAAGAAGATGTTTTGAGAGAGCTTGAAGCTCGAGCTTTTAGGAGAGCTGTTGACTTGGAGGGGTAGCTTTCACTTACCGTCATCATCTTTTTATCTGGCCTCTGAGAATCCGCGTTGGAGAGTTTACGTTTTCCCAGGTTACCAGCACCGTTTAAATCTACTATTGACGGAATGTTGGCGTTTGATAAAGGATTCTAGAAGGAGGGTGGTATTCTTCTGGCTCACTAGATTGTACCAACTTAAGGCTCGGATCGTGAGTAGTTGAATATTGTGGGGTTATCGCCTTGCGAGGTGCAGTATTACCTAGGTAGAGGAAACTGAGCTAATAACGTTCTCGAAAAGAGGTCGGATGTTGAACGATTTGGAATTCACTGCAGTTTGTGGTTTGGGGTTTCTTTTGATTCCAAAAAAAAAAAAGAATGGATTGATGAAATGTGAAAGGTTTTTGATCAATGTTTATTGATAAGAATTGGAATTGGAAGCAGCGGGCTGCTTACAGTATCAAATGCCTTTCGCCTCGCACAATCCACCACCTCCCTAGCCACTGAGGCTCTAGCACTGACCTGACAAATAGAAACATCTAGAGTCAAAATGACATAACGACACTGGACCTGGCAAACCTCGTACCTAGTAGGAATCTACGAGGTAGGACATGATTTGATAGGGAACAATTATATGGGAATAATTATATCGACACTTGAGGATGTGCTCGAGTATCAATATTTTAAGAAAACTCGCTGTATGTGGAGTTGCTATTTTATTGTTACAAACAACGCAATTTTTCGAATTTCTAGATAAAACAATGGTACTCGTAGGTGATGGAAATTATGTCATCTCAAGGATATTTATTTCAGTAGATGAGTCGGACTTGTATTAACCATGTCATTTTCGAGTCATAAGGCTCGTTGAAAGAGACCTATATTCTTCTATCGACGCCGAAATCGACCCTCCCTGACATGCGTGATGCCTGATGAGTAGACTGACGGCATCACATACTCATACTACCTACTTAGGTTGGAAAAGACGCAGCCCCTCGTCATTCTGAACCAATCTATACAAGCTATACATGAGAGCTGGTACCCAAACCCTGGTTCTAAGGGTGCGTTGCGGATTTGTTAAGTTCACCATTTATGTATCTCGTCTGTTCACGCCCGATGTAATAATCACAGGTTTGATGACCATCACAAAGTCCAAGTGCATGGTAATTTCATAGAAACAACGTGGTATTCATTCTCAACTTAATGGGCGGCTCACGTATGCCACCACCCAATATGTATGTATTCATTTACTCGTTCGTTCGTTCTTCGTGAGCCTGAGCCTTCTCGCCTTAATGGCGGTCTATGATCGAAAACTTTTGAATCTCGCGTATTTAGTTGATCTTTTGGAGCTCAACGTCACTGCAAATATTGTTAGTGGAGTACTTTGCAGATCTGGTGTGTTGAATAGATTTAAGACTTACAAGAGAAGAGTTGAGTTGGCTGGGATGACAGGGGGGAAACCGCTACAGAAACAAAGATCAGCAATGCCGTTCGTCCAAAATGTGTGGCCGTCTTTTTTCCGTGGTTAAAAGTCGTCAAGTCGACCTTCGGAATGAGGAATGATCGGAAAGACAGGGTGAATAATCTTACCGGGCACCATAGGCATAATCACTGTGAAGACATATTAGCAAGGCCATTTAACAATGCCATTGGTAGGTATAACTTACGGGGTAATTTCCAGAGTAGCCTTCTCACCGACCTTCATCTGAGTAACACCCTCATCCCAACCTAATACCAAGTCAATAAGCATTCAACGTCACTTCTATTGGATAGCGGGGTAAAATACCCTTGATGACTTGGCCGACACCAATTTGAACGACGAAAGCACCACGGCCGACAGAGGAATCGAATCTGTGAATCGGGTTGTTAGTATGCAAACACGAAAGAGTATTGTATTGCAAATGACAATGACAATAAGAATTGAGCTTCTAGAGGAACTGACTGGTTGCCCTTTTGAGTCTCGAGAGTGTCTCCCTTGGAAGAGTCCTTCAACCATCCAGTGTATTGAATGGTGACGGTATCTCCAGGCTTAGGAGTTGCACCTTCGCCCTCCTTCAAAACATGCTTTGTGACACCCATGATGACGTTTGTGCGAGAAAAGTTTCTATATTGAAATTTTGCTTGAGTTGGAATTCTTGTAGTTGATAATCTCAGACGTGAGAATATATATGACATGTAGAGAGAAGGTCGTAGAAAGAGAATCAGAAGTTTCGAAAGGTGAAAGGGGGTGAATGGCTTTATGTAAATTTTTGGATCAACGGCTGCTGCGGGGGAAGTTTTCAAAGGTTTCCGGTGGTGGGTAATATTTAATATTCGAACAAATGGTGGGGCTCACAGAAAGAAAAGCTCCCAGTTCAGTTCACAACAGCCATGTAAGCAATTGAAGCCATCTCGTAATGTACCTGCTAGGTATTCACTAGGTCAACACGGCAAGTAGACTCTCTCTTGGTTTCATTTTCTGCCTTTGGTACTTGTCCCAGTCTCCCAGTCTCCCAGTCTTCCAGTCTCCCAGTCTTCCAGTCTCCCAGTCTCCCAAGTCTCCCAAGCCCCTCCTCCTCCCTCCCCTTCCCCATTCCTTCTAGATACAGTACCTAGGTAGCTTCTGTGATAGTCCAACATATATCACTGGAACTTGGAACTTGTCAAGAACCACGTCTTCACGACAACAAGGGTTTGCTGTATGTAGGTGGGTGGTCATCCAAGACAAAAGATCAAGCCATACATCATATATGCACACTACATCTTACACTTTGCACCTTGACCTCACCCTTACCTTCAGACCGATCTTTGATGTTGATATTCGTACCTTGAGTTGGTAGGTACCAATAAAGTTGGCTGACAACCTTACAAACTCCTTCTATCCGCTTTTCCGGGCATCAATCCTACGACATCTATCACATCTATCGAGGTCTAGTTCTCCAAAAGGTGATTCATTATGTTTATCGCATCTACCGCCGATAATTCATTCCATCTGAGCTTAGCTACTTCTGATATATGTAGGGGAGAGGGACTAATCTTAGAATGGAGTTTTTACTTTTCTCCCCACGCATGGACATGGGACACTTGCTGTTCTCTCAGTGTCACCAATCCTATGAGATGTCAGACTTTTAACATGGGAAAACATGGGGCACCACAAATTGCAAGCTCTTTCCAGGAGATCAAAAAAAGCATCCCACGGCTTATGCAAGGGAAAACATGTAAGAGAAACGAGGGGGCTCTTAATCGGATCTCCGGATGATACTGATTGAGGTTGCTCGTACCAAATATCAAAAGCAACAATCTGACAATAACTAAATCATCAATCTACTATAAGGTTTTGCCAAATGTTGGGAGATCATTTATCATTCATCATTCATCATTCATCACGCATCACGCATCACTCATCACTCATCTTACCTTGATGATACTTTCAAAGGGTCTCGGCATGTCGGTATCATCCCAGCGGTGCCTCTAGATGCAACTCATCCTATTTTCGTCCGACTTTGAAGTCAAGTCAACCAGTCAATTTTCAGATATAAAGCCTCTTATTCACAGTGACCCCACGAATTATAACGTCTAGCTTATGGCGGCTTGATTCTTCCACAATCCCAAACATGAAGTTGTACTTGGCATGTTTGAACAAACATTTGTATAATCTGCAATACCTTTCTAACTTTGGAGACGAGAAGCCATCAATCATACTTTCTTCTTTAGCAAGGCTATGCTATGACATTGTGCCAAAAGAAAATCTACCTTCTCCTTCATAGCACGGGTTCTGACTGCATATCATTTACGAATCGGAACCTTGGTGTGTGGGAATCTCTTTCCCACTTAGATTGATCCTATACAATCTGACATCCCGCATATTTTCAGTGTGACGATATGTCAGGTTTGAGAAAAATGACCGATCTCAAGGACAAGTTATCCTAATAAGAACAAGTATACACTTGGAGCAAACAAGGTCTGAAACATTTTATATAAATGATATCCGGGCAAGTTGTTCCGGCTGATCTATCGGGTACAACAAGATCTCCGTCGGCAACCAAGTCGGGCCGGATAGGGAAGAATGCCATGATTGACACCACCACACCTGACGTCTTTCTATTTAATGTTATTTATTACCTTTGTATCAGATTGATAAGCATGACGCCAGGCTTGCAGATTAGTGCCCTGCCTTTTAATGAGGGGTATCAGCTTGAGTATATTCAATTTCTCACCAAGCTCTCCCTCTCATGGCCACTATCACACCTGAACATGAGTACCGGATCATGTGATAATTTTGATTTGAAGATTCCATTTTGAGAAAGTCTTGCATCAGATCCACCAAAGTGCATTATACCATAGCATACGGTATATTGAAAGATCTTTTTAGGCGGGCTACCCGTGAATAATGATGATTAAAATTTCCTCGTGTCAAAACTTTTGTTTTTGAACTGCATAGCATACTCCTTATCTTGCCCAGAGAAGTTCTTCTAACGAACCAAGGTGATTGTCTGGAATCATCTGCGATCTAAGATGTTGACACCTTGGCTGCGTTACCACACTTATGTCGAACGGAGATATGTTTGCATCATTCTTTTCTTCGGTACCAACAATATGAGTAATCAGGTTCCCGCTAAGTAAGCTCTCAATTATCCGTTTTTATCCAGCCAATGTCTCTACAGGAATATCTCTGGCTAATCATTTGAAGACCTAAACACGTCGGATTGCATGTCAAGGTTACATCCAACCAAGTAACAAGTCTCTTCTTTAACTTTTACGGGTTACGGGTTCTAGATTATGACTTCAATTTAGGCACTCACTCCATCGTCAACTTTATATCCACATAAATGGATCCTTCTATACCGTAAATGCACGTATTCCTTGTCTCTTCCAACCAAATCCCCCATCCTGTAAATATTGCTGTAGTGTTGAAGCACGTCAAGATGCATTGTTGTTCCCCGGTGGAGCATACATCTCATTTTTAATCTACACAGAGTTTCATGTAGTCTGGATCATGGTTTGATAACAAAATGTATATGATCTCTTATTTTGGAATCCAATAGGATTTTGGGAGATTCTATTCATCTCATTCCTTAGGCCGGACGACATGAATGGGAATGAGGCCAGAGTTCCCATCTTCAATGCAATGCAATAGAATACAATAGAATAATGCCACACTATCTCTTCCACCTCTTACCACATGTGAAATATCTAGTCCAGCTTTCACATTCTACATCCCATATCATTTCGTATCATCTCAGCTCAACTCATCCTATCCCATACCATTTCGTATCATCTCAGCTCAACTCATCTTATCCCATACCAGTGTGTACGAAAACCCTGATATTCCAGCCTAAATCTTTATGGCGCATATCAAAATCCATCTTCATGTGATATATACATGTGTATCAAAACTTGGAGATTAGATCTCGTTAATCAAACAGGAACGTATCGGGTGAGTTATGAGATAAGATGAGATGAGACGGTCTGTCGTATAATCTTAGGTTTGGTATGTATGTTAGTGGTGAGGGGAGGATGGATGTGCGGATGTATGGACGGATTGATGGATGGGGGAGGGGGAGGAGATATATATCGTAATCATACAGAAAATTAAGAGTAGGTAGAAGAAGAAGTAGTAGAAGATAGAATAAAATGAAATAACTGCTTCATATACAGAGATACAAATTCTAGGAGTAAGAGGAGAGATAGAGCAATCAGTAAGTAAATGGTTTTATTAAATATTTTCTAGAGATTGAAAGGTTTATGGGGTTCGTGGAATTTATGGGATTTAATCTTTTTTTTTTTTTGTAATGTGTTTGAATTTTGGAAGTGGTGAGTGCAGAGAGGAGTGAGGAGAGAAGGTGGAGGAGATACTGGGATGGACCACGGGAGTTTCGTTGTATTGGAATTTGATTTGGATGCAAGTAGCGTAAGTATGGAAGCTGGATATGAGAATGTGATTACTAACGCAATGATATCAAGTTGTTGTTGGGTTTGCATTGGAGGGGGCAGTTAAGAGATGTAAATCGAGGGGGTTAGCTGGTGGTTGTTGATGGGGAGGGATGGGGATGGAGAGGGAGAGGGAGGAGGAGGGTTCAGATGATGTGGTTCTTTTTAATCTGGGAGGAGGGAGATCTTGACTTTCTGTACGCTTTAGAATGTTTAGATTGTAAAGAGATAGATAGATAGATGGTGGTTCATACGAATATGAATATTCATATTCATATGAACAAAGACGGACACAGACACGCCGAAATCAAAATCAAAATTCAGATCACAAGATAGCAATTTCGTAAGGAATACCTACCTAGGCATGATTCATGAAGCAGGTACGCATTTGATAGATAGATTCTAAATCCAAGTTTAAGATCGAGTTCATACAGTGAGGTGAGGTGAGGTGAGTATTGAATCTATTAATCTTACTTGGGTTGGAATCTAGAGTTTTGAGAAGGAGAATGAGGGGGGGAGCGGAAGTTTGGATGTGGGTTTGAGATTGTGTTGATGTTAAGGTACTAAGGTTCTGAGGAGAGGTGAAGGTGCACAGTAGAAGATTTTTCATGGGGAGTTCCTATGAGCAGTTCTGTGCAGTTTTCATGCCGAGTTTCTACAAGAGTAACCTATATCTTGTCACTCGTCTCCATGCGGTGGGTACCTATTACATTACATGATACTGGATGAGGCGGAAACAGAAAAGGAGATCTAACATTCACAAGTGCCTTTCAACAAAAAGCTCAAGATAAAGAGAGATTAGTGAGTTGACGAGTATCGAGGATTCATTTACTATGCTATGTATTGTAATCTAGGCAATCTAGGTAGTCTAGACAGATATACTATGTACATATGTAGGTAATGAACGTGACATGGTGATACTCAGAAGAAGCGTATTGATGTCCTAATGATATATACGAATTTCGAATTTCGAAACCATAGGAGAGCAAGTATGTGGAAAACTTGAGGGAGTATTGGAACTTGGAATTGGAACTTGGAAATGGAACGTGGAATTGGAACTTGGAATTGGGAACTGGAATTGGAACTTGGAACTGGAATTGGGAACTGGAGTCGCAAAAGTGCAATACTATGCAGTAGATTAGGGTAAAATACCGAGCTTGTGAGTAATGGACTATGAGCACATGATGACATTGTGATCTCTCTTCTCGGAGAGGATAGGGTACGTGGAGGGGATGATATGTTTGAGTCTATTGTGCTTTTTGGAGATGTGAGATTGGAATGGAACAAGGACATGGGACATGAGATGGAGGTATGTGTATACAATTAGCAGTTTATTCGTGTACATGATGTATACAGTGTGATGTATACAGTGAAGTAAAATAGAATAGCATCACTACACGAGGGCGACGTAGTTTGAGGGCAAATTGGACTTTTATCACCTCTTCATAGCT